TTCCCCGTGGATTCGATCCCTTTACCACTATACACTATTTTAGCGTATAACATTTAGGGCATTTATTTTTGTTGGTCTCGACACCCCTCACTCTCTACTCGTCCTCATTTGCGCCCCTACTCGTCGAGGTGGTCCGTCAACTCGACGAGTTCTTCTCTCATTCGAACGCCACATGAAAACTCATCCGACTCGCCGAGTTGATGAACAACTCGTCGAGTTCACCTTCATCTGATGAACAAGATCTGTCCTCAACTCGCCGAGTTGATGAACAACTCGCCGAGTTCTAAGGAGATTGCCTTGGACTCGCCGAGTCTGTTGATGCACTCGCCGAGTCCCATGAACTTCCAGAACAATGGCTTAGTCCAGAACGTTGGGTCACCCCCTGGGAGCCTGTTAAAACCTTTCCACACTCGACTGGGTCCTTTTGACCCTCAACAGAAAGGGGCAAAACCCTTGGACTCGCCGAGTCCAATAATGAACTCGCCGAGTTGGTCACGTCCATACTCTAAATCCTTGCTTTCTGATGTACATCCTTTGATCATAAGATAGATCCAAGCTTCTACAATCGATCTAGCACGTAAAGTTACAACTTTACGTGCTTGCATGGGACTTTGAGCTCAAAAGGTCATAAAACAAGCTCATAAGGCACATAGGACCTTTCATGGGTGCAAAAGCAACCCAAATCTGCCTAGTGACTCCTTCACTGATGTGATTCAGAAGCTTAAACCCCTAACCATGTTTGCAAACATGGTTGGCCACCAAAATGGCTCCCAAAAGCCCTAAATCTCCCCAAAGTGGGATCTAACAAATGAATGAGCAAGGTCACAACTTTTTGCCTTCAATGAGCTGTAGAAGGTGCACAACTCAGGTTCCCTTGATCTCTTCCTGCTTCCTCAAGCTTCTCTCCTCTCTTCTAAGATCACAATCACCAAACTCCACCAACAAGGCTTAGATTGCTTCAAAAACGGCTAGGGTTTCAGTGAGGGGTGTTTGGGAGCATAAAGGGGTGATGGAGGCTGCATAAGGTCGTTAAAATAGGGTACAAACCCCTGGATTAGGGTTTTTGTCCAGACAGAGGCTACTCGCCGAGTCCGGGACCCGACTCGGCGAGTCCGTCACTTACACCCCGCGTTCCTTCCCGCTTCTACTCGACGAGTCAGTCCTTCGACTCGCCGAGTCCAAGGCCAAAATATCAAAATATTTAAAGAATTAAATAAAAGAGTACGTACCAAGAACCAGGTGCTACAGGCTTGCTTGAGCCCATATACTAATTTTTGTAATCGACATACATGGGTTGGGTTTCGCTTGTCTACAAATCCGGGAGGCTGGAACATATACACAGTTTCTTTAAGGTCCCCATGTAAGAAGGAGTTCTTTACATCGAGTTGATGAATAGGCCATGATCGTGATACATCAAGACTAAGAACGGTCCGGATAGTGGTAGGTTTCACGACGAGACTGAATGTTTCATGACGGTCTATTCCGATTTGTTGTGATTTACCATTGATGACTAAGCATGCTTTGTATCTCTCAATATTCCCATTAGCATGAAATTTATGGCGGTAAATCCACATGCAACGTATAACATTAGCATTGTTGGGTCTTGGTACTAATTCCCATGTGTTGTTATCTATTAAAGCCCGGTATTCATTAGTCATAGCGGAGTGACAGTTTGGATCAGATAAGGCATATTTGTCGGAGTCTGGAAGTGGGGAAATGATTTTATGGTTTGTGGTGGTATGAAGGTTAAATGGTTTGGTTAGTTTTGTGATACCAGATCGAGAGCGGGTTGTCATTGGGTGTTGAAAAGTGGGTAGTTGTTAGGTGGATTGTTGTCATGGGTTTCGGCGAGTGTAGGTGAGCGGGTAACGATTGGGTGTGGTGGAGGAGGTTTCAATTGGAGTAGGCTGGGGTGGAGAGGTGGAAAATGTGTTAGAGGTGGTTGGCGGTGGTGAAGTGGGCGGTGTTGGGTCGGCTGGGATAGTAGGTTGGTTATTTGTGATGTATGGTTGGTAAATAAGTGGGGATGGGTCAGTGTCAAGGAAAGAGTAGTTATGTGGCTGTGTAGGTGTGGTATTGGCGTAGGGACATGTATTTTCATCAAAGGTGACATGGCGAGAGAGGATAATTTTACCCGTAGATATGTCAAGGTAGCGATAACCTCGGTATTGGGCTGGGTAACCAAGAAAAACACAAGGAATAGATCGTGGGGAGAGTTTGTGTTGGCGTGTGGCGTTAAGATTGGGGTAACAAGCGCAACCAAAAATCTTTAGGTGGTCGTATGTGGGATTTTTGAGATAGAGAATGGAGGTTGGGGTACGGTTGGGAAGTATTTTGGTGGGTAGGATATTGTGAAGATAGGTGGCAGTGTGGAGAGCGTCGACCCAAAAAGAAGGCGGTGGATAGGCGTGGGTTAAAAGAGATAACAAGAGTTCGTTGATATGACGAATCATGCATTCGGCTGTTCCGTTTTGTTGAGAAGTGTGAGGGCAAGAAAAACGGATATGAAGACCGACAGTAGATGCAAAATAATGAAGTTGGTGATTGTCAAATTCTCCCAGTTTGTCACATTGTAGAGTTTTGAATGTAGTGTTGAATTGAGTTTGTATGTGTTTGTGAAAATGTGTTATCTTTTCATGGAATTCAGATTTGTATTTTAGTCGAAACACCCATATAAAATGGGTGAAATCATCAATCAGAATGAGGTAATATTTAAAACCACTATTCCTTCGGAGTGGTGATGTCCACAAGTCGGCATGGACAAGGTCAAAAGGTTTTATTGTGGTGGATGTGGAGTCAGAAAAAGGTAATCGTTTGTGCTTAGCAATTTGACAAGATTGACAAACGAAATAACGATCAATTTTATTGCAAGAGATGTTTATTTGAACTAAGAAAATTCATTACAGAATGTCCTGGATGACCTAGTCTAGAATGCCAAAAGGATGAACTAGATGAAATAAAAAAAGATAAAGCTTGAGCTATTTCTGGCTTTGTGAAGGGGTAGAGGTCACCATCGCTATTGTGCCTCGTTAGGAGCTTCCCAGTGTTGAAGTCCTTTATAGAAAAACCATATGAATCAAATTCAACAGATAAATTATTAGTTCGACAAAATTGACGTACATATATTAAATTTTCGATGACGTTGGGTGTGTGAAGAATGTTTTTTAGATGAAGTGGTTTATGTGGGTTTGGTAAAAGGGAGTGACCTGATCCAATGACCGGCACTTGAGTACCATTTCCAACAAATACCGATTTTATAGATGACATACTTGGAATTGATATTTTACTTGTATCTCTGGTAAGATGAGTGGTGACTCCTGAATCCATGTACCACTGGTCATCGTTTGGGTCCAAAGTCATTGCCGAGAAAGCTGCCCCGAGTTTTGATGGTTCTAATGGCTTTACTTCTGTAATATGGGCTTGTGGTGGCCGACCTTGTTGCTGCTGTGTGGGAGGGGGGGGGCGATTCTGGCTAGGAGGAAGATTGTACCGATTGTTCTGGTGCACAGGTTGTGGGCGACTAGGAGGCGTTGGATTTTCCATGTTTTGAGAGCGAGATGGTGGGAATCGGCGATTGGAGTTACGTTGCTGGGAAGGACGAGCTTTGTTGGTGAAGTCCCCACGTCTTGGTGGTGGGTTAGAACCTGATTCATGATCAACAGTAGCATCGACTTCCACAGGTGAGTGAGTATCTCAGGCTCGTTGTCTTTGATTCTCGAGTTGTAACATCGAACAGGCAGTATCCCATTTGGGAGAGGTTTGATTTATGTAGGCTGCCACTGTGTCAAATTCATAGGGCAATCCACGGACTAGTTGCAGGACAAGGCGTTTCTTGTTGACAGGGAACTCTACATCATTTACTTGCCCGGAGAGATCCTTCAGTCGTTGACAATACGCTTCAAGAGATGTCATGGCTCGAAGGGTCAAGTTATTGAACTCATGTTCTAGGGCTGCTGGCCGACAACCTTTATTATTTAGGAAGATGTGCTAAAGTTTGGACCAGGCATCGTATGCAGTAGAGTCTGGATCAAGGACCTGACCATGAAGATAATCGGATATGGTCCTTGATCCACTGAAGAACAATTGCATCAATTTCTGACCATGTGTTATATGTTGGATCTATTTTTGCAGGGATGCTGTTCCGTCAATATAGGACAAAACTTTATAGCCTTCTGCGTGTAGTTTCAACAAACCAACCCAGGAGGAATACGTGGCCTTGGTTCCATCAAGTACTCTTACTTTGGTCTGTATGTTGGTAACATTGTAAACGAGATGGATTGCCTTTGTAGGGTTTGTCTCATTTTCACCAGACATGATAAGTAGGGGCTGCTAGAATGAGAAAAAAATTAGAAAGGAAGAAGGTTGCACAGTCATGGCTGTGAAAAAGAAATCAGTCTCGGTATTGAGCCCTTAGCTCTGATACCATGTAAGTGTTTGAGATTCGATGCCTCTTTCATTGATATGAGCAGAATATATACAGGATTACAAGGGGGTAATTGAGGAAAGTCTAATCACCTAAAGAGCTAAATAAAGAACATATACTGTACAGTTAATACAAAAAATACGACATAATTATGCGAATTTTATGGCTAAAATAGTCCTCGCTAATAATCATATCACTGTTCTCACTGATATCTACTATATTTGATTCTATCAGTTTTTTAGGGACTCATTTCAGATAACTAGAGGGTCAAAAACTACCACAGGATGGGAAAATACACAATTCCTAAATACAAATTTCCAAGACTTGCAAGTCTTTAAACGTCTAATTTAGGGCAATCTGTTTCAATTCATATTTAATGTGTCTTGCATTTTCATTGAAATTTCATAGAAATTATGTATCGTAGGCCCCACACAAATATGTCACCAGTTTGAGGTTGTTCATTTGAGTTTTTTGTCTTCACAGTTGAGACTATATAAACCCTCATGAGGGGCAGTTTGAATATGCATCACTACCAAAAAAAAAAATTTTAAAAATCACAAAGATTTGCATTAACATAATGAATCCTTGTGTTTTTGTAATTTTCTCACTTCTCTTGCTACACGCTAAGACTATAACTTCCAACCAATTAGGAGGAGGAGATGAAAATGGTGTTATTATGAGAAAGTATTCTGATAAGGAAAGACGTGCTCTTCTTGATTTCAAATCTCACCTCCAAGACCCCAATGAAACTCTCTCTACATGGAGAGCTGAAGAAGAAAATTGTTGTAAATGGAGAGGAGTCACGTGTAACAACCAAATAGATCATGTCACAGGGCTTGATGTTGATGGACTTGGTCTTGAAGGTGAGATTAGCAATTCATTGCTTAATTTAAACAGTTTGAATCATCTTGATCTTTTTGGAAATTCTTTTCATGGAACCATTCCCACCTTCATTGGTTCCATGACTCGTTTAAGGTACCTTAACCTTGGTTGGAATCAATTGAATGGAGCCATTCCCAGGTCCATTGGTTCCTTGACAGAATTAAGTGAGCTTTACCTTTCTGGTAACTCCCTTTATGGAATCATTCCTCCAGAGTTTGGAAACCTCACCAACCTGGTTGATCTTTGGCTTGGAATTGGATCTAGAGTTGAGAACCTACAGTGGTTATCTCATCTTTCTCATTTGGAGTTACTTGAAATGAATGGGATTTCTCTATCCAAACAAAATTATTGGGTAGATGTGATTTTGAGTCTCCGAAAACTATCCTTTTTAAGTTTAGATGGATGTGAGCTGTCACATGTCATGTATCCATATTCTTCTTCATTTCTCAACTCTTCTTCATCTATTGAATACCTTTCTCTTGGAAACAACAATCTCAACTCATCCATGTATGGTTGGTTGTTCCCATTCACCAGCAATAAGCTTCGCATTCTTGATATCTGTGGCAACATGTTATTAAGGAATGAGATATCACGTATCTTTCATATCTGTATTGTGATTCATATTGTAAATAATTGGTCATATACAGTTGTATTTTACCTGTATCCTTTCCTAGTTTAGTACCTACAGCTGTGATTATATTCTGGATATATAAGTCTCTCATTTGTAATGTTACATATGAAATCGGAATACAAAAATTTATATTTCCATACCTTTATATGGTATCAGAGCACTCCTAGCTCTCACAAGTCCTTCGATCCAACCACTCTTTTTCATCCCAATTAGGGTTCTTCAATGGCCAGCAAACAGACACAAATCACTGCTTCCACTCACTTAACCACGAAACTTACCCCCAACAATTACCCAGTATGGCGCAAACAAGTCGAATCAACGCTCATCAGTCTTGATATTGAAGACCATATCATTGGCGAATCCAACAAACCCTCAAAAACAGTCAACAACAAAGAAGGCAAACCCATTCCCAATCCAGAATACCGTCCCTGGTATCGTCAAGATCAAATGATCTTCAATGCAATCCTTGGAAGCTACTCCGATTCAATCCAACCCCTCATCTACTCTGCATCTACAACACGCCAAGCATGGGAACGACTTCACTCAAGTTTTGCCTCCGCCTCAAGGTCTCGCATCATCTCTCTGAAATCAAAACTCGCTACAAACCCTAAAGGTACTCGATCTGTCACTGAATTTCTACATGAAATGCGATCTATTGCTGATGCCCTAGCCCTTGCTCAAAGTCCAATCTCAGAGGAAGATCTTATGATTCACATTCTCTCCCAACTGGGAGATGATTACAACACTATTACCGCAGCTCTTAAGGTGCGAGAAAATCCCATCTCTTACCCTGAACTATTTGACAAACTCACAGACTATGAACGGACCATTAAAGAAACATCACCCACTCTTGAATCCATCCCCACAACCGTGAACTTCACAGCTCGCCAACAGGGGTCCACCAATCGCAACCCAAACTCCTTCACCAAAAACAATAACAGACCCTATCAATCGGGGACCCACAGAGGTGCTTACCGAAACCAATCCCAATGGTCAAATACTAACCACAACCGTACCAACAGAACTAATGAATTCTGCCAATACTGCAACATATCGGGTCATCTAGCACGTGACTGTCGCAAGCTAGCTCGCTTCCTAAAAGAAAACAATCTCCATCATGAAAAAAACTTCACACCAGTAGCAAACGTGACCACCTCCTCTCCAGCATCACCATCATGGTTATTTGACACAGGGGCCTCTAATCATGTCACATCCGATTGCCACAATCTTCACAGTGTATCTGAATACGGTGGCCCAGATGAAATAGTTCTTGGGGATGGTACAGGACTACCCATCTCTAACATTAGTAACACATATATCAACACTGCTCCCAAACAACAGTTACTATCTAATGTTTTACATGTCCCACGATTACATCGAAATCTTGTTTCAGTTGGCCACTTATGTGATACTAACCTTGTTTCGGTGGAATTCTTTCCATCTCACTTTTTTGAAGGATCTATGCACGGGGGCGCGTCTAATGCGAGGAGAGAGAACTGAAGGGGTATACCACACTTGTCCGACGCCTAGACATCAAGTTCATGCCACCTTCAAGCACACTGCTCTTATTCTCCACCACAAACTTGGTCATCCATCTGCTAAAGTTTTCAAGTCTATTGTTTCAAAGTTAGGCTTAGGCTTAAAAATTGCACCAAATGTTCATTGTCCGTCTTGTTGTATTAATAAAGCCATAAATTACCCTTTGGTCCAAACTCCTTAAGTGCCACTCATCCACTTCGACTTATTTACTCTGATGTTTGGGGACCAGTTCAAAAATCAATTGATGGTTTCACTTATTATGTTATTGACGACATTTGAACCTTTAGAGACGACAAATGTCGTCCCTATAAGTCCCGTTTCTTTTAGTGATGGTTAATAAAAAGAATTCATTTAATTTTTCTAAAATAGTTAGATTATTATCTAGTTGATTATTATCTCTAGATTGAATATAAGCTTTAGGAATTATCTCCTAGATTAGGGTTATCCTTTTTGAACTAAGATAAGTTTTAATTTCCATAAGTATTTATGTTTTCTAGCTTAGAAATTTATGGAGATTGTTTGCTAAAAGCTTTTGTAATTGGCTTTTTTTCCTAAGTGCAAGAAATAGCAATGTACTTTGGTATCAATAAATGCATGTTGATTTGGTAATTGTGTTTGTAATCGTGTTTTTGTCCCAAAGGAAAGAAATAGCAATGTATTTTGGTATTTCTTGTATTTAAGGTTCTTTAGCACAAAATAAGTAGAAAGTAAACTACCATTTCTTGTAAAATAAGACTATTTAATTTCAAAGTCTCATATATCTACATAATGATCAATAAATGCATGTTGATTTATTAATTATGTTTGTCATTGTGTCAATGTTCCAAGTGCAAGGAATAGCAATGTACATTGGTTTTTTGTCCCTGGTCTAAAAATAAAAATGTACTTTTGGCATCTATAAATGCATGTTGATTTGGTAATTGTGTTTATGTCCCATGTGAAATAAATATCAATATACTTTTGGTATTTCGTGTATTTAAGTGCAAAAAATAGCAATGTACTTTAGTAGTTTTTGTTTATTCAGGGAAACCACCAAGTGATGATCAAGGAGGAAACGAGGGGAGTGAAGATGGTGGTTCGTCGAATCAGTTTGTGTTTTGTTAGACTTGTTATGACATAAATTTATAACACGTTTGTTTTTTGTTTTAGTATTTGTTTGAAATTATAACACTTTGGTACTTAATTGGATGCTGTTATGTATTTTTTTTCTGCAAGTAATATTTTTGTGTTTTTGGCGATTAATGTTACGTATCGGTTTTTCTACATCCGAAAAAAGCTGAATTAAAAAAAATGACTATTACCGACAATACTGTTACCGGAGACACACGATTATTACCGGTAACAACCTATTAGCGGCGATAACAGATATCACCGACGACTTCGTTGTTAGTGGAGACAATTAGCTTTTGCGACGATATTTTGAACAATATCGATAGGGCATCAGCGATGAATCATTAGCGTCGACTTGTCGCCGCTATTACATATACTGACGGCTATCTTATATTTAGCGGTGATTTTTGTCGACGCTAATAATCGTTTTTCTTGTAGTGTAGGTCTTGAAACATATGAATATATTTTTAAATATACTAGGGCTCTGATACCAACTTAAAAAAAACATTAGAATATTAATCCATTGAAGGATTCATACATTGGGATATAATTTTCTACAGTAATTGGATGGTTCCATCGTTCTATTATTTCCTTCCGAAAGTCAACCTTGAAAGGTATCAGCTATAGATTTTATGATTTCTTCCATTATTAGGAAAAACATTAGAATATTAATTTTCTAAAATCTTGATTTAACTTGTACAAGAACTTTTGGCATTCTAATTGTTCTTTATGTTTAATAATTTATACTATTCAATTTTATAGCTTAACCAATGGTTACATTAAGTGGAGAAATAAATAAATTCAAATTTTCTATTCAAAATTCCATAATTATATCCACAGTTTAAGGGATCTGGTTTTTAATTAGTGATTAGTTATTGGCAAGATTAGGGGAATTGACTCTTTTAAAACCTAAGATTTAGGAGAGTCCATTTACGCATTTTCTAATTGTACAATATGCTTTGAAATTTATACCACTTAATTTTCAAGAATTGGCTAATATGCTTAATATAGTAGTATAGATAAATAGATTTTACTGGTATTTATAAAAAAATGTTTTTGTAAAACTAAACACATATTTATACATTTGAAAGCATATGCATACGTTTAAAACGTGATTATGCATTAAAAATGTATTTATTTGTATTTATAGGTATAAATATTTATTTTTTATAAAATATATTGTGTACATATTAATATTAAAATAGTTATTCATGTGTTTATATTGTTTAAAATACATATTTATGTATTTATACATATTACTAATTAACAATGTGTATTTATTTCATTTTTATATGTATACAATTCACTTTGTTAGCGCCCACTCAGCCGAAAATCCGTAGTCAACAACGATGTGGCACGCCTACGTCTACATGTTACCAGTTTACCATGTAAAAACTCAAAATGGAAAAAATGTGCAAAATTAAGACATTAATAGCATAAAATTCAATTTAAGGTAAAACTGTCAATATGTGCAAAACTTAAAAGCTTTTATGACAAAACTCTATGGTTAAACCCATAAAAGAAAATTAACAAACAAAAAAGAGAAATTGAATATCCTACTATATTATCTTTCTATTCACCCTCCAATTCATCTTAAATGATGACATGTATTATATTTAATAAAATTAATAATATTTAAATATATTTGTCACCATTTAACATGAGTAAGAGGATTGATAGGAAAAAAAATATAGAAGGATATTTAATTTCTCAACAAAAAAACTGTCAAGGTATGAAATTTTTTACAGTAACTTCTTTACAAGAAATCCTAAACATTTGGTATTTACTCAGTTACAAAAGCAATCAAAAAAACATTACTTCAAGAAATGCCATATACATATAAACCACTAAATTTGATAATCATGCAACAAACCCTCAATATTTATACAAAATATTTTTTAATTAAAATGAAAAGTGAAAATAGATATACACAATATATTTTTTTCCACGAATAATGTTATACTAGTATATGTACAGCTTGCTTTTCATGGGCCCAGGACGCTCTGCCACGAAAAACGCTGAATTCCTACTGCAGTGCAGAGGCGCTGGTGACTGTGAAACAGAAGCAGAAGCAGTCAAAGAGGAATCAACACTAAAAGCCCCAAATTCAAGGGTATTGTTGATAATATTGACAGCAAGTCTCTGGTTCGAAAATCCGATATTATCTTTCTCAAATATTATGTTTTACGTAGAATTAGAGCCCGCCTTCTGAAATTCCTGAAGAATAACTTATGCTAATTGGTCAATTGATGCTATTTGAGGCTCTTAATTTGATTTGTTGTTGTATATTCCACATTATACCGATTATAGATCTCATGATCATGTTCAGTTAGCTATAAGAGAATGAATCTAATCTAGCTGTTTTTCTCAGCGCTCTTCTCTTATATTTTAAGATCGAATCCAATATTGAGATCAGATCAGGTTAGTCTGTCTAGAGCATTTCTTCTCACTCAGCTACACAAGCCATTAAATGTCTTGTTGTTCTTATTTGTTGAATCATCATTTTATTCTTTTTTCATTAGTAGTCAACACGTCATTCTTTTCTACCAAATACATTCTGGGATGTTCATATTCTGCAAGGACAATGATATGACTAAACATCTTTAACAATGATATATGACTAAACATCTTTTATGGTTGCATGTTTCTGAAGTATCCCTTCATTTTTATATAAGAATTAATGGTGTACTTGTGGTGTTGGCTATTTTATATTGCTTTGTGTGTGAAAAGAAAAAATTAATTTGTTTAACATAGTGCCAATGCTAGGGAAGTCTAGAAAGTGAGTGTGGTCGTCTATTCTTTAATTTTGTAACTAATAAAGATGTTAAACATTTTAATCTAGTCTAGACTGATTAATAAAAAGAATTCATTCGATTATTTTTCAAAATATATATATTGCAATTTGCAAGTTTGTTACGGTCTTGTTTTAGAATCACTACTAGCGTAGCACTTTTTACAAAATAAATAAATAAAAATAAAAAATAAAAAATAACAATGTAGGAGACCATGGATCAAAGTTGAAATGGACCAACTTGGCTTGTTTCTAACAAGTTTAAGATTTAATTAATTGAAGTGAGATAAGTTTATTTCATAGTCATTAAATTCTTGGACCCAATCATATCACTGTTCTCATTTATATCTACTATATTTGATTTCATCGGTTTGTTTTTAGGGACTCATTTCATATAACTAGTGGATCGAAACTATCTTAAAATGGGAAAAGATATAATTCATAAATACAAATTTCCAAGACTTGTAAGTCTTTAAATGTCTAAATTGGGGCAATCCGTTTCAATTCGTCTTTAATTTGTCTTACTTTTCATAGAAATTACGTATCACAATTGAGGTTGTTGATTTGAATAGGCCACCTGTTTGAGGTTGTTGATTTGAATCTTTTGTCTTCACAATTGAGACTATATAAACCCTCATGAGGGGCCGTTTGAATATGAATCACTGTGACAACCCGAAATGTCTATCTTGTACAAACCCTACATCTCAATCAAAGTCCAACTTGCTTCTGCTAACTTTTAGCACTGTATAGAATCTGTTGGAGCTTACTGAGCTTAGTACATCAAGGGATCAAATATTAGAATGGGTCAACTAGAGTTACAAATCACTAAACATGCTTTAAACCCTCAAATGAGGAGTTTACGTCCATGAGACCATGGGTTTACGGCCGTAAACTCATGGTGTCAGTAAACTCCATGGCTATATATGAAATACTTGGCTATTTTCATTCATTATCACCCTTTCAAGCCTAGAACTCGGTTTTGCTCTCAGGTATCATCAAGAACTTTCATTCCAATCTTCAATCTAGTAAGTAATCTTTCCATTTTCAACTTGATATCCTTCCATATCTAGTGAATACACATGATTTCATCCATGAAATCTCTTCTTTTGGTTAGATCTTCAAGTGTTCTTCATTTCACCAAGAACACCAAGAACACACACTAGTGTTCTTGAGCCTTAATCACCTTATCAAGCTTCTATATTGTAAGTACTCTTACCTTAGCTTGTTTCATGATTGAATCACTTAGTTTACACCTTGAAAACATCAAGAACACAAGATCAAAAGGGTGTTTACGGCCAAGGCATCTCCCAAGGCCGTAAACCCAAATTCTTGGGGTGCAAAGTTACCACAACACTTTCTTAAGCCATAGAACTAGGTCTAGAACACTTCCTAGTGAACTATAGGACCTTAAACATGAAATGGTATTAGTTACCACGAGTTTACGCCCGTAAGCTCATTGGGCCATAAGCCCATGGGCCGTAAACTCATGTGGTTATTACCATATGGGCCATAAACTCCAATGAGAGGCCTTCCACCCCTTATATGCAACCCTATGTGGTTTAACACTTCGGTATAAGTGTTTCCTAGTCCCTAAGGTTGTTCCATTACATAATTAGTTGTTATAAATACTAATTGTAAGCATATATGTATCATTATATGTTAAATAGGATCCATGTGTGCTCAAGTCTTCACTTGACACTTAGCATCCTTTCCCGATCTTACATTCACATCACTCACTTCAGGTGAGTTCATACCCCTTAACTTATCTTTTAAATGATTTTAAATGCTTTTATGGGGGGGGGGGGGGGGGGATACAAGTAGAAAACATGCTAGTTATATAATCAATCACATGTGATTTATAACTGTGTTTCAAACAAGGATTTCATATACTTCAAACTGTGTTTCAAAACAAACTACTTTTAAATCGTTTTATAAACTGACATCAAGTCATTATTTATTTATTGTTCAAAACTCTTTAAATGTATTACAAAACCTCTCTTTAACTTATATACTGTTAAAAGCATGTCTATATATGTATAGTTATATACATAATGTTTAAAGGACATAGGACTGCTAGCTCGCTTTATTTCCTTTTCCTTGTTTGGATGTGGACTTAAGGTATCGGCCAGTTGTCCGAAGATCGTCTAAATATTATATATATATTATGTATACATATGTAGACATAAAAGTTCTATTTAATCAATTCAGTACCTTTGGGTAGCAAAGGTATACATTCATCTATTCATATACATAAGTTACTAGTAAACTATAATAGGTATAGTTTAGGAGAATACTATCATATACAAGTACAATAACAGAGAATACTATAACATAGAATACTATAACAGAGAATACTAGACAGAGAACACTATAACAAAGGATACTATACAAAGGATACTATACGGAGAATACTATACATAGAATACTATTACTATAAAAAGTATACTATAACAAGATTTAGAGATAACATAATGTGAGATCCAACTTCATGACACATCGACCATTTCGTTATGTAACGTTTTGTAACCAGAATCTCCTGGAGGGAGAGCGTGAGTTTGCGTATAGATCTATACTGGATTGACTATCCTACACCTTTGCTGTTCGCTACAGTGGGATTTACAAGTCTACGAGTGCCAAATGTCATTTCTTCCAACGTCTTTCATCATCGTGTTATAGTCAGATTAGTATGGTAACAATCATATCACATTTTGCCTTAATTAAACCATTGGTTTTAAGGTAGTTATTACTTCAGTGATTAATACAAATAATACTGCAGTACACATATACATTTTCCCACTATATTCAAATTGTGATCTTCTCACATAAAGGGTAATATAAAACTATATTTTTGGTAAAGATAGTCATACTTGGGAAAAACATTCACTTTTACAAAGAGACAAACATACATTACAGTCGGGTCTTGGTAGAAGACTACTTTTTATACTAGTAGAAAATGTAGGATTTTCTAGGAGTTTTCAAACATATACGAACATTTACATTGATCAATTACAAATATTTTCATCAAACTTATACAAACATTGACACTAAATACTTATGAACTCACCAGCTTAAATACTGATCTACGCTTTCAAAATAACTTGTATTCTCAGGTCACCAGTAGACAGGTACCGATGATCAGGTTTTGAGAAGACGAAGCATCTTCAAGACTCGTCTTTTATTTTGATTATTCATTTTTGGTGTCTTATTACTATTAAAGAACACACTTGTGTGAAATTATACTATTAATACAATGGATGATGTTTTTGCTTATTTACTACTTTGCATTGTTATGATAATATACATGACGTCCTCCGCCCCAGAACGTTTCCGCCGTTCTTGGTTTTGGGGTGTGACAATCACTACCAAAAAAATATATCACCAAGATTTTCATTAACCTAATGAATCCTTGTGTTTTTATCATTTTCTCACTTCTGTTGCTATGCCTTGAGACTATAACTTCCAACCAATTGGTAGCAGCGGGAGGACGAGATGAAAATGGTGTTATTATGAGAAAGTGTTCTGATAAGGAGAGACGCGCTCTTCTTGATTTTGAAGCTCGCCTAAAAGACCCCGATGAAACTCTCTCTACATGGTGATCTGAAGAAGAAGAATGCTGTAACTGGAATGGAGTCACGTGCAACAACCAAACTGGTCGTGTCATTGAGCTAAATATTAGCTCTGGTGGCCTTGCAGGTGAGATAAGCAATTCTTTGCTTAACTTAAGCTACCTGACTCATCTTGATCTCTTCTCTAATTCTTTTCATGGAATTATTCCCACGTTCATTGGTTCCATGATTCGTTTAAGGTACCTTTGCCTTGGTTTGAATGATTTGAATGGAACCATTCCCAGGTCCATTGGTTCCTTGACAAAATTATGGCACCTTGACCTTTCTGATAACTCTCTTTATGGAATCATCCCTCTAGAGTTTGGAAACCTCACAAACTTGCAAGTGATTAATCTTGGATCCCTTGGAAAGTGTAGAGTTTGGAACCTAGAGTGGTTATCTCATCTTTCTCACTTAGAGGCACTCAAAATGGATGGGATTTCTCTAGCCAAACAAAATTATTGGATAGGTGTGATTTTGAGTCTCCGAAAACTATCTTCTTTAAGTTTAGATGTATGTGAGCTCTCACAGGTCATGTATCCATATTCTTCTTCATTTCTCAACTCTTCTTGATCTATTGATACCCTTATTCTTAGCAACAACAATCTAACCTCATCAATGTATCGTTGTGTAACACCCCGTTCCTGGTACGTATTTAATTTACAAAATGTTTTTCTTTAAGAGCTACTTGGCGAGTTGTAGCCCTAACTTGCCGAGTAGATGTCGGGTTGGACGCGGGTTGTAAGTGATCTACTCGGCGAGTCCGCGCCTGGACTCGGTGAGTAGGCCAGTCTGGAGGAAACCCTAATCCTTAGGGTTTGCACCCTATTTAAACGTCTTATTGCGCCCCAACTTCGCCCCCACTACCCTCAGAGCATTTCTTATCAAACCCTAGCCTCCCTAAAGAGTGTGTGAGTGATTGTTGCCTTGTGAAGGAACTTTTGGTGCATTTTGGAGCAAGTAGAAGAAGGAACAGGTTGAAGAGTTCAAGGTGTTGGATATACTGTCTAAGTCCATAACTTTATTTGGTATGTACTTGACCCGACAGGGCATGGTCCATTTGGGTTGCATGACATTGCAATACTTGGATAGACTAGATGAGAGAATAAGGCACTTATGATTATTAATATATTATAAGTTCTAATATATTAATAATAGTATTATTTAATTAGTATTGATCAAGTATTAATCTAGTATTAATTTGGTGATCAAAGTGAGACTAATTAAATATATAGGGTTGATTATGACAATCATCTATTCTTTTATGGTGGATTAATGATCCATGGTTTATGGGTTTGGTTATAACCATATGGAGCTCCATGGATAGTCCATGGGAGTTACAAACCCATGGGTCATGAGAAGTCAAGAGTCATGACAATTAAGGGCATTCATGTGTAAACCCTAATTGTGACAACACTATAAAAGGAACCCTATGGCTAGCAAAATCGTGACCTAGTGTTACTAGAGAGGGCATAACCGATTTTGAGTGCTAGAAGTATTCTCTCAAGTTATTCCAAGTCTTGTGGTGTTGTGTGAAGCATTTGAGGCACAACATTTGGGGTGCTAGGCTCACAAAGTCTTGAAGGAATCCAAGCAACAACAAGGTATGTATTTCTACTAGCTTTTATGTCTTATGTAATCCCTATGCCATGCTAGTTAGGAAATAACCTTGAAAAGGAAATTTGCATGTATATAGAGAAAACATAGATTCAAGGTTATTAGGGTTGCATGTACACTTAGGAAGTGTTAGAATGCTCAAAAACCCATCAGTGGTATCAGAGCCTAGGATTGTTTTCTGTATACTTGATGCAAAACTGCTTAAAAATCGAAAATTCTGCACTCTGACGACTGGACTCGCCGAGTCCATGCCGAGTGCATTATTCTACTCGCCGAGTAAGATGAATTTGTTCATGGACTCGGCGAGTCCATGGGGAGGACTCGCCGAGTCCATGAACAAATTCATCTTACTCGGCGAGTAGAATAATGCACTCGGCGAGTAGGAGCGTGCTGGGCAGTTTTTTCGAGTTTTGTTGCTGGAAATGGATTAAGATCATTATCCCAATCTGTTTTGGACTTGTAAAATCTGTTTTTCAAAATTATAATGATTATGTTAACCCATTTTACATGACTTTTATCAATTTTCAAGTATTGTATATGTTTATATGATTTTCTTGAAATTGCTTGACATGAATTTGTGTTCATATGAGTTTAGAAGATCATAGGAATTATGTGTAACCTCCATGTGTGTTTAATTCATGATCTTAATGGCTATGATGGTGTCCATAACTTGTCCTTAAGTTATGGATAACCAAAAGTCACTTCTTTTAATTATGATTAAAGAACTAAAGAGGTTTCATAAAATGAAGAGTCTTCATTTTTATGAACCATTAAAACTCATAAGTTACAAATTGAAGAGACTTGGAATAGTTTCAAATCTTGCCCTCAAGTTTTGGAATTTGAAAAGTCTTACACTTTAATACTTTAATTCCAAATTAAACCTTAGATTTTTAAAAAGTTTAAAAATCAACACTTATACTATTATTATAATTTTATTATATAGATATGTATAAGAATATGTCATTCTTACCGTTAGTAGGCCTCATTCACGAAGCCGGTCTATAAGGGGGTATAAGGTTGTTGCCTATAAAATGGTGACTTAATGGGTGTCCACTCTCACCCACCGCTTCCTTGATCGGTGGAGGGTCGTTAGCCGAACGGGTAGGATACGACTTTAAATACTCGTTAAAAGTATTATAAAGTAACTATACATTATAAATTCCCAATTTTAGTTACTTTAGGAAAATGTGAAATTGGTGCTAGCCCATAAAATTACACTTTGTACCTTACCAAGTCGTTAGTGGAGCGTGTGTGGTTAACCGGCACACTAACATGGACTAGTAAGAGTGGCAAAGGGTAACTTGACCTTATTATAGATCGGTGGAGCGTGTGTGGTTAACCGGCACATCAATTAGGTAATATTGTTGAGGGTACCAAGTCAATTTGTATGGTTATTCACACCTTGTTTGTGATCCTCGGCATCCCAGTCACAAACTTGAGAGGGCACAATCGAGATTCAAACATGCCATTGAAAAGTTCAATGTATCTCAAAAGATCTAGGAGTTTCAAAACCAATAAAACCTAATAATAAAATATTTCGTTCTTATGGTGGAAATTGGTAAATCGTCATTTACCTACCTTCAAATATTTTATAGTATGGATTACGGCATCCCTCTTCCAACTATAAATAGTTTGTTGGATCCTAGCCTTAATATTTCAATTGGGTGAATTATTAAGGATTCCTAATCTAATGAAACTTGTCTTTCTTTCCTTTCAGATGTCTTCCAATAATGCTTCTGGCTCAAACCCAACAGGCTCCTTTTCCCTTATGAACTTGTATGGTAAGGTCATCTTTGATGGATCCAATTTCAATGAGTGGATCAGAAACATCAGAATGATTACCCTCTATGAGGACAAAGAATATGTCCTCGATAGGGAGCTTAAGGTTGTGAGTGAAGCCACTGCTACTCCTGAAGAGTTTGCGGAGTTTGTTGCACATGAAAAGGATGCTACTAAAGTAGCATGCATCATGATGGCCACCATGACTCCTGAACTTCAAAAATCCTATGAAGATTTCTACCCCTATGAGATGCACCTGGATCTGATGGAAAGGTACCATCAGAGCGCACGTCAGGAGAGGTATGAAATCATCTCCTCCATGATAACCGCAAGGATGAAGGATGGTGAACCCATCACCAGTCACTTGCAGAAGATACAAAGGTTCGTTGACCGGTTGCTGAAGCTAAATGTTGACTTTCCTGAGGAAATGGCGATTGACATCATTCTCCATTCCTTACCTCCAAGTTATGATCAGTTTCGTATGACTTATCATATGAACACGGAGGAAGTCACACTTAGCAAACTTCAAGGACTCTTAAGGACAGCTGAAAATGGCCTTAAGGGTAAAGCGGTTGTTACTTCTACTCCTTCAACAGCCCCTGTTCTGGCTATTGGGCAGGGAAAGGGTAAGAAGAGGAAAAGCCCTTCGAAGGGTACCAAGGGTAAGATTCTTGATGGTCCTCTTCAAGTGGGACAAAGAAAGGTCCCATTACTCCTTCTTCAAACCCAAAGGAAGCACAATGCTTCTATTGCCAGGATAAGGGACACTTCAAGCGAAGCTGCCCTAAATATCTGCAAGATGTAAAGGATGGGAAGGTTAAACCCACCCATGCAGGTATTTACACAATATTGTCTAATAACTCATCTAATGCTAATTCTTGGGTGCTTGATACAGGTTGTGGTATTCACATCTGTACTGATTTGCAGGCACTAAGAAGAAGTGAGCAAGTGGAGCACGGGAAGATAAACTTAGTCATGGGCAACAGGAAAGCATCACCTGTTACCAAGATAGGAGTTTATTCTTTATTGCTTAATAATGGGTTAATGTTAGATTTGAATAAGTGTTGTTACTCGCCCGAAATGGCGAGAAATATTATTTCTTTTCATGGCTTGTACAAACAAGGTTTTTCATTTTCATTTGATAATAAAATGGTGCTGTTAATGTTTATTACAATGATGTATTTTACTTTAAAGCATTACCTTGTGATGGTGTATATGAAGCCGTGAATGTTGTAGACAATCTAGGAAATAATGTGTTGTATATTGATTCTTCAGATAGCTTGGATAAAGCATCCTTGTGGCATTGTCGTCTTGGACATGTTAACAAGAAGCGCATAGGCCAACTCCAAAAGGCTGGAGTCTTGGAATCATTTGACCTCAAGTCAGATGATAGTTGCGAGTCTTGTTTACTTGGAAAAATGACAAAGTCACCCTTCACAGGTACTTGTGATAGGGGTGAAGGTTTGTTGGACCTTGTACACACGGATGTGTGTGGGCCCTTCAGAGTTGCTACAAGGGATGCTAATCGCTATTATGTGACTTTTACTGATGATTACAGTAGATATGGATATATTTACTTAATCAAGCATAAGTCAGAAACCTTTGAAAAGTTCAAAGAGTTTAAGCAGGAAGTGGAGAATCAATTGGGCAGGAACATCAAGATGCTCCGATCCGATCGGGGAGGAGAGTATCTTAGCATTGAGTTCCTTGACTATCTTAAGGAATGTGGGATTGTCTCACAATTGACACCTCCCAGAACACCACAGTTGAATGGTGTAGCTGAGAGGCGCAATCGAACCTTGTTGGATATGGTTCGTTCCATGATGAGTCGAGCTTCGTTACCAATCTCTTTCTGGGGGTATGCCTTAGAGACTGCCGCCCATATCCTTAATCTAGTCCCTACTAAAAAGGTTGCCAAAACACCTCACGAGATGTGGACTGGGAAAGTTCCCAATTTGGACCACATCAAGATTTGGGGTTGTGAAGCTTTCGTGAGGCGTGAGACTCATGATAAGCTTGAACCTCGAAGTGAGAGGTGTATTTTCATCGGCTACCCACAGAGATCCTTTGGTTACCTCTTCTACAGACCCAGTGATAATGTGGTCTTTGTAGCAAGAAGAGGAGTCTTTCGTGAGAGAGAATTCATAAGCCAAGGGGACAGTGGGAGGCAAATTGAC